GGCCAGGCGCCCCATCCCAGCACGGGGAGGGGTGCCCAGGGAGCTCCCTCGCTGCAGGCTCAGAGGACAGTGTGGTGCTGGCGCTCTACGACTACGAGGCAATGCACGCTGGGGACCTGAGCTTCCAGAAAGGGGAGCGGCTGAAGGTGCTGAAGGAGTAAGTGCTGCCGGTGTCCCCCTGCCCTGGGGTCTCCTGAAGGCTCGCGTGGCCCTGCTGGGGTTTTTTTCTGGAATTTGCCCCTGGAGGAGCTGGCAGTGCCCAGTGCCAGGTGCCATGGGCCGACCCGATGCCATTTCTGTCGCAGGTCAGGGGAGTGGTGGCAAGCGCGGTCACTGGCAACGGGGTGCGAAGGCTTCATCCCCAGCAACTACGTTGCCCCAGCCGACTCGCTGGAGACAGAGGAGTGAGTCCGTCCCTCCATGGCACATCCCGGCCCCGTGCAGTCCCGTGCTCCCCCGTAGCTGTCCCCGCTCCTGCCCCATGTCCTGCCCCCAGCCCTGATCCACGCTCGCCTTAGCTCTCCCACCCCCGGCAGCGTTCGTTGGTTCATTTGTTCCTGCTGCAGGTGGTTTTTCAAGGGCATCAGCCGGAAGGATGCGGAGCGGCAGCTCCTTGGCCCCGGGAACGTGATCGGGTCCTTCATGATACGGGACAGCGAGACGACAAAAGGTCCGGAGGGGTGCCCGCAGCACGGTGGTGGGGAGCGGCTGCCCTGGAGGGGCCTCCCTCACTCACACTTGCCCGGCAGAGGAGCTCGGGAGGTGCCTCCCCAGCCCGGGGGCTCTGCTTTGCTGCGGGGCAGGGACTGGGGGTCCCATGCTCCTGCTGCAAGTGTCCCCACAAGAGCCCGTGGTGCTGCCACATGTCCGAGCCCCGTGGCAGGGATGGGGGGGACGTGCCCCTTTGAGGCTGCTTTCGATGTTTGGGGCACAGGTATAGCTGGCCTTGTGCTTGGGGCCAAGGGGGTGGCGGCAGCACGGTGGGGACGGGTGCTGCAATGATGGCTCCGCTGGGTGATGTCACCGCGCGTGCCGCGAGATGGCCGGGCGCAGCGGGGACGTGCCCTCCACACAGGGGCTGGCAGCTCACCCCTCCCCGAACAGGCTGCTACTCACTGTCGGTGCGGGACGGGGACGACCTGCAGGGCGGCACGGTGAAGCATTACAAGATCCGGACACTGGATAGTGGCGGCTTCTACATCTCCCCGCGCAGCAGCTTTGATACGCTGCAGGAGCTGGTCCAGTACTACAAGGGTGAGCCCTGGGGTGCCTGGACCCCCCACCCCGAATGGGGCTTTGTCCCTGAGCCGAGCAGCTGCCGGGCAGCCGGGGGCACGCAGAGGCCGAGGGGCTCCTGCCCATCACTGCTGGGCTCCCGCTGTGGCTCCGGCTGTGACGTGCAGCGACTCCCGGACCTTCCCCTGGCGCGGTGCCCGGCTTGCTGACTGTCATAGCCATGGGTGTCAGTGTCCCCAAATGCCCGCAGCGCCCAGGACTCCCCCTCCCTGGGCAGGCCAGTGTCCTGGCTGCACCGGCACGGTGCAGTAATGTCCGGCAGGGCAGAGCAATTCCGGCAGGGCTGGGCTGCGATGGCCAGTGTTCGACGTGTCCCCAGTGTTCGCAGTGGGGCGCGTGGTGCCAGGACGTGCCCTGTGGCCACGGAGGCTGTCGTGGGCTCCGCTTCGAAGCGTGAAGCGGATGGTGAGACAGGCTGGCTGACAGCTCTCGGCACTCCCCGGCAGGGCAGAGCGATGGGCTGTGCCAGAAGCTCACCTACCCCTGCTGCGTGCCCAAACCACAGAAGCCCTGGGAGAAGGATGCCTGGGAGATCCCTCGGGAGTCGCTGAGGCTGGAGAGGAAGCTGGGAGCCGGGCAGTTCGGAGAAGTGTGGATGGGTGAGAGCGAGGGGGAGGGAGCTGGGAGGAAGATGAAGGTGATGGTGGAGAAGGAAGGGTGAGGGATGGGAGAGGAGGTGGAGGGATGGTGGGGTGGCAGAGGCAGGGAGGGCGCGACCTGCGGGAGCGGAGCACAGGGAAGTGGAGGTGGCCCTGGCCTTAATGCAGGGACTGCTCGGGGCTGGGTGTGTGGGGACAGCCCTGGACTGCGCGTGGTCTCCAGTCCTCGCGCAGCAGCTCCGTCTGCAGCAGTGGGTGCTTTGGCACCAAAATCCAGTGCTCCCAGTGCCTGGGCACTGGGCAGGCTGGGAATGGTCTGTCGTGCCACCCCGCAGCTACCTATAACAAGCACACCAAGGTGGCGGTGAAGACGATGAAGCCAGGCAGCATGTCCGTGGATGCCTTCTTGGAGGAGGCGAACCTGATGAAGATGCTGCAGCACGACAAGCTGGTGAAGCTGCATGCGGTCGTCACCAAGGAGGAGCCCATCTACATCATCACCGAGTTCATGGAGAAAGGTGCTGCCCATGCCCCTGTGTGGTGGCCGCGGGCCAGGCCAGGCAGCGGTACCCGGGTGCCCCGGGGATGGTGCAGAATCAGCCCCTCCTGCATCCCCGGGGTTGGCCGTGGGCTCTGCACTGGCTGCCGGGGCACTGGGAGCGGGGCCGGCTCCTGCCACCGTGTGTCCGAGTGCGCTGGGGCAGGGTGCCGGGCCGGGGGATGCAGTGACAGCCCTGGGAGAGGGAGGGATGGGGACAGGGGGCAGACGAGGAGGAGCGCTCCGCAAGGCAGGCAGGAGTCTGCAGCGGGGGTTGCTCCTCCGCCCAATCCATGGGAGCGGGCTGGGGGGGTCAGGTGTGTTTCCTGACCAAGTCCCCGCATCGTGCTTGGCTCCCTGGGACCCTGTGCTGCCCACAGGACCCGTGCCACCCCGAGGGTGGGCGCAGGCTCCGGCTGAGCCATCAGCCCTGCCACCCTTCTCTGACCACAGGGAGCTTGCTGGATTTCCTGAAGAGCGACGAGGGGAGAAAGCAGCCGCTCCCGAAGCTGATCGACTTCTCTGCCCAGGTGAGGAGGGAACAACCCTCCCCCAGCTCCCTGCTCCCACTCCCCCTTGCCCCCGAGAAGGGCGAGCGGGGGGATCGAGGAGCCCAAGAGCTTACCTGGGACTTGGGCAGTGCCTTGTTTGAACAGGCAAACACTGGGGGTGGGGGGGATGCAGGAAAGGAGCTGGTGAGGTTTCCCTGCGGTGCTGCCCTCACACCCTGCGGGCAGTCAGCTGCCTGCTCGCCCCGCGGGTCCAGCTGCCGGCACAGCAGCAGGTGTGTGTGAAAGGAGAAGTGGCAGCTTCCTCCCCGCTCGCCCGTTAACTGCAGCACAGTGCCTCGCCAGAGCCGCACGGAGCCCGGGGGGTTTTGGCCAGGCTGCTCCTTCCGAGGAGCCAGGAAATCTGTGTCTTCTAAGGCCGCCGTGGTTTCTGCAGCCCTCGCAGCCTGCGGTGCCGTTGCATTTTGTGGAAGTCACGGGCGGTGAGGGTCGGAGCTTGTTTTCACTGCTCGCATTCGCACGGTCCCTTCTCCAGGACATGCAGGTGCCGGTTGGCGTGGCCTGTCTGAGCCCAGGGCTCCCTGGAGAGCAGCCATGGCAAAGCTATCGACGTCTATCCATTGCTGCTGATGTGATAGTTACCTGCAAACAACACGCTCTGTGCGATAGAGCCTTGTCTGCAAACTTTGCAAAAGTCCCACAAAACCCCGCGCGGCCGCACGCCCACCCCGTGCCACCCCGGCACCAGCTGCCGTGCTCCAGGGCAGCATCTTACACCCGCTCGGGCCGTGCCCCTGGCAGGACCTACCTACAGCTGCGGCAGCGTTAAGCTTCATATGCTTAATATGAGCTCTACAGCCCGGGCATTTTGCTGCTTTCACAGTGCCTGGGGGAGTGAGCTGGGCACGGTTTCTGGAAGGGAGCGTAGTGTGTTATGTTACCCCACAGCAATCCCTACAGGGGTGTGGTTCGTTAAAATCATCTACCTGCCAAAGGGCCGTCACGGGCTGGGGGAAGGCAGCTGGAGAGGCAGGAGGGCTCAGTGAAAATCGTTTTGGGGATATTTTCAGGAGCCGATTTCGAGTACAGCTGAGTGTGCTGTTATACATCTAGCTTCGTGTGTGCAACCATTTGTGCAACCGCTTGTCTTGTCCCTGCTGCTTCTGCAGTGTCCCCAGATGCTGGCCGAATCCAGGAACCCTTTGAGCTAAGCTTGGTACCTCCATGCAATAATGCGTAGAGGTACCTGCGCAACAGGAAAGTCAGGATGGGAGCCCAGGCCCCGGGGGCTTAGACCAGGTCACTGGCTACTCGAGCCGGCTGTGCCAGGGTCTGCTGATCAGCTGTGCAGCCGTGCATGCCATCTGTTCCCAGCAAGCTGGCTCTTGCAAACCTCCCGGCTCGGCTCCGTAGCTCACAGGGGCCGCTTTCTGCAGCACTGAGAAGCAAAGGCTGAAGCGCTTTCATGTGCAGGCAGCAGGCGTGCAGGCAGGCAGCTAGCGAGCCTGGCACCCAGGCTTGTGCTGGGGCTGAGTCACTGTGAGCAAAACCGTGTCTGTGGTCATGGAAATAATCCTTCCGCTCTTGTGGTGCTTGTTTACTTCTGTATTTTGTGTGGAGAGCTCTGCGAGCAACTTGCACCTTACCCCGGCCCGGCTTGTGCGGGTGTGACGAGGATGGGGAGAGTGTCCCCTCTGGCTGCTCCAGCCCCTTCCCCTCCCGGCTGCTGGTAGCATCCAGGCATGAGATGATTTGGCACAAATTTGGGGGTTGGTTGTGCACACACCAGGTCACCTCTGCATTGATCGGGGCCGATAGCTGCACACACAGCCACAGCCACTGAGTGCAGAGACTTCAGAAGATGGAGCCGGGGGGGATCTTCAGGGGTCGTCACAGCCGTCCTGCCCCCAGGCAGGACTGACTCTTCACCAACTATTCTTGAAGACCCCAGGCATCTCCCCACCTTCCTTGGGAGACCCACCACCGCGTTTTTCTGTCCTCACTAGGAACCTCTGCAATGCTGGCCGACCCTCGCTGCAGCAGTTAAAGTCCATTTGTTGTTCCCTTAGTGTAGAGAGAGGACAGTTTGCTCCCTGCTTCTCTCAAGCAGCTGTTGATGTATTTGGAGACTGGTCTCACGACTTCTCTGAACAGAGAATGATTTACGTCTGCACAGCTATGGATGAAGCAGTTACACCTTGCCTTGTGGACATCCACAGATACTTGCTTGTGAGCACGTCAGCTCCTCGGATGCCAGTTCTCGCTGCTTTTCTCACACAGGGGCTTAAATGGGTTGTGTTGGGCTGCTCACCCAAACCCTGACCTCTTCTGCAAGGGATTCCCTGCACAGAGAGTGGTTCCCATGCAGGAGAGTCAGTCACATCTCCGGCTGTGACTCAGCCTCCTTTCACCCCCTTTCCAAGCGCTGGCCAGAAGCAGTTAACCTCTTTCCATTCCTGGTAACAGTCGCGTTGGGGAGGTTGTGTTATTTCAAACAGCCTCTTTGCATTTTTCTCTTTCCCCTTTTTACAGATTGCGGAAGGAATGGCTTTTATTGAGAAGAGGAACTACATCCACAGAGACCTGAGAGCTGCCAATATTCTGGTGTCGGCAATACTGGTGTGCAAGATTGCAGACTTTGGGCTGGCCAGAGTCATTGAAGACAATGAGTACATGGCCCGGGAAGGTGCGGGAGCTGCTGGGAGCGTCTGGCCGCTTTCTGAGATGGTGAAGGGTTGTGGGATTCCCTTAGAGCCACTTATCAACGTGTAACCTTGGTGGGAAGGACCCTGGGAGGGACGTGATGTGTAAACAGGCAGATGGGGAAACTCCTCTCATTTGCATCACTTCACATCTTCCTCTTCTGTTGGTTTGTTTCTTGTTTCCCATATTTCACCACCAGTTTCTCAGCATTTGGGTTAGAGCTCATGTTTCCCATTGGATCTCTTTGTCCAGGCGCCAAGTTTCCCATTAAATGGACTGCACCAGAAGCCATCAACTACGGATCTTTCACTATAAAATCAGATGTCTGGTCCTTTGGGATCCTCCTGACCGAGATCATTACCTACGGACGCATCCCATACCCAGGTAAGGAGGTGAAACGCCTCCTCTGATCTGGTTCCAAAAGACATGCTCCACCTTCCGGGCCCCATCCATGGGATCCGCTTCTCCGTGGAGTTAGATCGCTGAAAACAGAGGGAACGGTGAGAAATCTGAATCTCACACTGGGAGCAGAGCTCAAAGACGGTAGCACGAGATCTTAAGATGGCAGTTCTGTCTGTAAGCCATGGAGAGGAGCCCAGAGCACGAGACAGTCTCCGAGCAGTCTGCGCCACTCATTTAGCTACATCTACTCTTTGGCCAAGAGCTCACCTAGGATGGATAATTAGGAAGATTTTTCTCCCTGGGAGTCCTCAGTGGACACCAGCTGTTTTCACTGACCTGAAATCCGTGCTGGTGTGACATGGGCCCCCTTTTCACAGCTTCCACAAAGCAGAGCTGGGACATCTCTGGGGAGCCCACGAAATGAGTCCAGGTAGCGATGACTTTGGGGTGCCCACTGCTTTGGGGAGAAGGGCAGCTGCTCTATATACTGCCTTGGGGCTGATCCTGCAAGGAGGTCCTGAGCTCCTCCAGCTCCATGGGAAACCAACAGTAGTCAGGATGTCTAAAAGATCTGGTGTCTCTGTTTCTAAAATAGAAGATCATGTTTTTAATGTGAGAGGATAATTGACTTGCTCCAGGCTGTACCGCATGGCCCCGGGAGAGCGGGTATCACACACCGCAGGTTCCTGGCTCACGGGTTTGTGTCACAGCATTAACACATGGTTTTCTGCCTCCCGCAGCTTAAGCATGTTTGGAAGTAGCACATCAGTTCAGGGCTGGTAGGTGAGCCAAGTGTTTTTGGGAAGGCTCGAACAATCTGTACATCATCACCATTAGGAACCGCCCTGTATTTTATACTAATTGTTTCTTTGGTACTTTTTTTCCACGGGAAATTACTCTGTACAAGAAAAGTAAAAGTTGCCACAAACCGACCATGAAGGATGTGGGGTGGCATAAAGGGTTGTTGGGGAAGGACCAATTCTGCCGTCACACTAACTTATTTTCATCAGTGACACTGGAAGGAATGGCTCATTAAAGACTCAGCAGATGGAGAAGCGTAGCCTTTATTTTGTGGAAATTTATACAAAACAGTTATAATTCCCATCTGATCTGCTCAACTGGGGTACAAAACTGCAGGCTACAACTAACTCAGCATCTCGTTTGTTCGCATGTTTCCCTGACCGGGAGTAGGAGTTCCCCCTTCCCGACCCCTCTAACCTGTCCTTTTTCTTCCTAGTGACATTGCCCAAAGGGTGGGTAGTTTTGGGTTTGGGCGGTTTTTGCCTTTTAAAGAAATCAGTGATCAACCACGAAACGTTCACCTGTCCTGCCCTGTTTCTCCAGGGATGTCGAGCGTGGAGGTGATCAGGGTGCTGGAACACGGGTACCGGATGCCCCGCACAGAGAACTGCCCTGAGGAGCTGTATGACATCATGATGAGGTGCTGGCAGACCAAACCAGAGGATCGTCCCACCTTCGAGTACACGCAGAGCATTTTGGAGGATTTCTTTACTGCAACAGAGAGCCAGTATCAGCAGCAGCCGTAACGCGGGAAGCTTGGTGAAGGCAGCGGATACCCCACGCTAGGCCCGCCGTGTTAGCGGCAGCGAGCACATGCACCCTGCTCTTCCCTGTCCCACTCATGATCTGCCTGCACACGCCTTCCTCTGCCAGCCTGGCCCAGGAACCAGAGCCTCCCCGGTGTGTGCCTGGGCTGGAAACGGGGGCAGGAGGAAGCCACGCTCAGGCCAGCCCTCCGGGGCTGCCGGACGGAGGGAAAAGCGACGCGGGGCCGTACCTCGTGCCTTTCACGCGTGCCTGAGTGCCCGCGAGGCAGCTGCTCTGGGAAGCACTGGCTGGACGGTGGTTGCTCACGCCGGCAGCGCCACACAAGGAGGGCCGGGGCCGGGCCTGTTTCAGCTGCAAAGGAAAAACCCTCAGATTATTATTATTATTTTTTTTAATCCTTCTGAGATCTTATCATGCTGTTTTGCAGAAGTAGGTGCTTTGGCTGCGATGGCCTCGGCGAAATGCCGTTACGCTCCGGGTGAGCTGTGCAGCGCCCACGCCACCCGGTCCCTGCGTGTCGGGGAAATCCCAGCGGATTCCCACCCGGCCATGCTGCGATGCAGCACGTCGGCTTGTCCTCGGCACAGGATCCTGGGTTTTGAATGTCAACCGTCGCAGAAACACGTCTCTCTCCTTGCCCTCCTGGATTTCCTTCCTAAGTATTTTTCGTGGCACCCCCTCTGCAGAGCGCGAGTTTCGGTGAGGCCGTGCCGGCGAGGTGGGCAGCGCGTGCCGCAGGGTACGGGCAGACATAGACGGTGCTTTACAAGGCAGTCCCTGGACGGGTCCCCCCCCCGCAGCTTGCCTTAGGACAAACTTCTCCAGCCAAGGGCAGCCCTAAGCCGGCCGCCGCCGGCCCCGGCCCGAGGAGCCCTCTCCCTCGGTGGCAGAGCCCCGCTGCTCCGCTCGCGGGCGTGATTTAACCTCTGCTGGGGCATGTGCAGTATTGGCGACGAGCCCGGCGTTCCTTGCGCACTCATTTTATGTTGTCGTCTATTTTTAGTATTTAATGATGGGTTATTCGGGGAAAAGGAGGAAGTAGTATTTTTTTTTTTTAAGATTGCCCTGTCTGTCTTACAGCAGGGAGCTTCTGGGCCTGTGATTATGTTTTCCTCATACAAAGAGGCAAAACCCGTCGCTTCTGTGCTTTTGTATCAGCTTTGGAAGCTTCTTTCTGTAATCAATAAAGTATTTATAAACCTCTCCTCTTTTGGCCTTTCCTCAC